ATGCATGGCAAAATTAAGAAGGTAAAGTCATTTCAAAAAAGCATACCCATCTCTGCATTTTCTGCAATTTACCTTCTCACATTTCTCTTCAAAAAACAGGTTCTCATCCCTGTTTTGTGTATGTACAATGGATTTATAAATAAAAATTTTGACAATTAGATGTTGTCAAATGAATAATGTTTGAAAAAATTTTTCAAAATATGATTGCATGAGTTTACCTCCTTGATTCTACCATGAGTGTATGGCTACACCACTCGATGGTCCGATAACACCATAATCCTTATAGAAATATACTTGGCAACGCAGGCTTTTTTCCTTGTCAAAGAACGAATTGAGTAATACAAACAAAGGATAAAAGAATACTTTCAATCAACTATTAGATCGTTCTAATGTTTTCTTTGAAATTTGCCAAAAATAATATTGTTTCTATTTCAGGTCAATGATGCTGCTATTGCAACAGTCGTCTCTCAACTCTTGTTGACTTTAGACTACGTGCGCGCCGTTTCGCTTTTTTTATGTGTTTTGTTTTGTTTTGCTTTGAACACTAATACACACACAAATACACACATTCCTTCCATCTAACCAATAACACAAACATTATTTTATTTGGTGATTTTGCTGAAATTTAATATTCCTAATTTCAACAGAATATACAATTTTCTGCGAAAATGGGTGATGAGGAGCCGCCTCCCCGTTTAGACCCGAGGAAAAGATCTGAGCTTTTTAGCAACCCTGGAAGCAAGAAGTTTAAAAATAATCAGCCTTCTATGCAAAATAAAATGCCGCAGTGCTCTGCAAAAACAACACCAGCTAAAGAAAACACCACTCTCACACCATATGAAAATCAATTTTTTAATGATACAAAGTCCATCTCCACCAACACAACTAACAACTGTCACTCCAACAATAACAATCCCTCCAATCCATCCAATATACCCAAAAATACAAACAAAACAGATATTTACAGCTATGATAACTATGAAAACCAAACAATTCTTTACAGCCCAGCCCATCCAGGTCCATATTATGTACTTCTTACTTCTGATGAGCCCATTTGCCCTAGAAGAAAGAACTCAGAATTACATTTGTATGCCAAATTAGCCAGTGCCAACATAAATGCTCATTTTGTATCAAAGAATATTGCATATAAAACCTTCCGCCTGAGCTTCAACAATTATAACTCGGCAAATAATTTTGTTTTGGATCCAAATGTAAAATCTATTGGTTTGAATGCTTTTATCCCAGATAGATTTGTACAAAAATTTTATGTTATTAAATCCGTACCAGTAGAATTCACTGGCAAAATATATATGATCAAATCAACAGCAGCGACAATGATTTCAAAGCTGTATCAGTATATCGTTTCAAATACAAAAATGAAAATGGTCAGTATGTGCCGTCGCAAACCATTAAAGTAGGTATTGTAGCGGACTACGTTGTAAAAGAACTTAAAATGTTCAACTCTATAGTGGAGACGGATTTATATATTCCACTTGTACGCTTATGTAAAAATTGCGGTCGTTTAGGTCATATAGCCGTAAAATGTAGAGCCAAAAAAAGATGCCTTCTTTGCGGGATAAACATTGAATGTCCCATAAACTGCACAGAGCCAAAATGTGATACATGTTTGTCGACAATTAAATGCAAAACATACTGTACTCTACCCAGATGTATACTATGCAACATGGAAGATCACAATGCCATGGATGTCAAAAAATGCAAAAGATACAGTAATGAAAAAAATATTCTGGAGGCTATGGCAATCACCAACCTTTCAAGGAAAGAATGTATCCCTAAAGTTTCAACAATTACTTTGAAATCTTGGATGAACCAAATTATGAAAATCAATTTCCCCAAATTTCTAAAACAAGCAGAAGACCAGTTACTTCCTTCAATGATGAACTCAACAGAAGGAGAACTAAAGTCAATTACAATAAAGTAGCAGCATCAATACCTCGTAGAGCACATATTACAGCTGAACAGGAAACGATTGTACCCTCTAAACCATCCTTTGAATTCTCAAATTTTTTCAAAGTTTCTGAGTATGAAAAAATATTATCCACTTTCACTCAACAAATGGCTGCCGCATTAACCAATGCCAAGTGTACAGAAGGATTACAGATCTTAGACAGTTTTTCAAATGCCTTAAAAGCACCAGCAATAGATGGACCTTCCAGTTCTAACCAAACCGAACATGATAATCTTACAGCACAACATACAAAGTTTGAATAAAAATAAAAATTATCTAGAACTTTACTTAAAAAAATTTTCTGTCGATATATGCATCTTAAGCGAAATTTTTAATGTAGATGAAAATGCATCATCATCTTACGTAAACAATTATGAATTATTCTGCAAAAAAAGAATCGACAATTATGGTGGCGTTGCCATCCTGCACAAAAAAACTATTAAAATGAAAAAATTACCGTTTGCATCGAATTTAGACATCTTAATATGTCAAACTACAAACCTGTCTCAAAATTTAACGATTGTCTCAGTATACTTTCCGCATTCTGTAAAAGTCAATGTTTTAAAAACTGAAGAATCAAAACTTTTAATCTTTCTAAATGGAAAACCAAATGTCATTATTGGCGGGGATTTTAATGCAAGATGTAAAGCTTTTTTGACACAGTTCGAGGATCCACTGTGCAAACCTTGATGGACAGTTCGGCATTTCGTTGTGTTAATGATGGCTCAGCAACCTTTAAAAAGAATCTATTTGACAATTCTTTCGGTTCTGTGTTAGATCTTACCTTCACAAATATGTCTTCAAACTTTAATTGGAATGTAAAAAATACAAGCATAGGAGGAAGCCACCACAGACCAATCCTTATTAACATAGATAATTTTACATCAAAGCAACAGTACTTCCTAGCAAAAAAACATCTCTTCAAAAACTTATCAAATCTAAAAATTGATTCCAATATGAATGATATTCAATCGGAGCTAAAATCAACAATAAAGAATTCAACTTTTCTCATTACTGCTGAAACAAAATTTCAAACATGGTGGAATAATGACATTACCATACTCTTACGTCAAAAAGAGGCCGCAGAACAGAAATTTGATAGATACAAAACCACTGAAAATGCCCTAAGTGCAATCAACGCTATATCTAAATTCAAAAAAGCCGTAAAATGTGTCAAAAATCGCGACAAACGTCGTAAACTGTCAGATTTAAGCCAATTATCTAATTCAAAATCGCTTTTCCGTTATGTAAAGAGCTGTAAATCGGTTTTCGAACCCCAATTTGCTTCTAAATGGAACACTGACAACAACGAAGCCTTCTTACGTCATTTGAGTGAACAGGTTCCCAACAACAGACAAACTATATCCATTTAAATTTATAACAATCAACCTGCAAATTTCTCCATGGAAGAACTAGACAATGTTCTACAGCAAAAAACTAAACCATCTGCAGCTGGTCTGGATGGAATCACTTATGAAATGGTTAATAAACTATCCCAAGATAGTAAGCAGCACCTTTTGAATTCTTTTAATAATCAATGGAAAAACTGTGAGTTTTTTGAAGAATGGAGGAGAATAAAAATTGTTTCCATACCGAAAAAAGGAAAAAATTTAGACATCTGCACAAATTTTCGGCCAATTGCTTTAATATCTGTACTGGCAAAGATTTTAAACCTCATGGTCAAACAAAGGCTCAATGATTTTCTAGATGAACATAATATTCTTCCACCTAGATCTTATGCATACCGCAAACATGTGTCAACTTCAACATGCATTAATGACATACTACACACAATAAACACCTCCAAAGAAAAAAATGACAAGGTGATTGTTCTCTCGATGGATGTATCGAAAGCCTATGAGTGTGTCGATATAAATTACCTGAAGATGATTTTAATAGAAATAAACATTCCACTCCAAATAAGATTATGGATAATCAATTTTCTCTGATCCCTCAAGGCAGTTGTTTAAGCCCAACACTATTCAACCTATACACAATAGGCCTCCATGGTTTAGCTGATGAAAACACAAACATTTTCCAATATGCGGATGATTTTATTTTACTTGTGGCAAGCCATGACTTTGATAGTGCCAACAATATTTTACAAATCAAAACCAATAACATGGTATCCCTATTAAAAAAACTAAACCTTGACGTCAATGTTGAGAAAACTTCAGTAATATACGTGGCTAAAGGAGGTCGGAGAAATCCCAACATTTTACTAAATGGAGTCCAAGTAAATGTTGTTAAGTCCATCAAATTTTTAGGGAGACATATTAAAAACAGTCTATCTCTCAAGGAGCACTACGAAGAGGTGATGATATCCTGCAAAAATACTGTTAATGCTTTAAAAATGGTCACGGGTCCAAAAAGTGGAATTCATCCCGCAAAAGCTATAAACCTGTCAAAATCACTTATCTTTTCAAAGACCGAATATGCAATCTCATCGATGGCTCACAGACCAATGTATATAAACAAGAAGCTAACAAGCTTTCAAAATCAGTTGTTAAGAAAAAAATTGGGACTGGTGCCTTCCACTCCAAACTGGTGCCTTCCACTCCAAATACGCTCTTGCTGGTATGCTACCAACAGATTTAAGAGCTCAACATTTGGCGGCTAAAGAATTGATAAGACTTAAAATATACAACTCTTCTCTGTATGAATACTTCACCTCAAATATCTCAAGAAAAACTAGTCTTGGATATGTCTATACAAAGTTTCGCACAATTTTTGAAAATCTCAAAATTGGTTACAATCAACATCCGACCAACAAGGTAGATTTCATGCTGGATATATTTAATACTACCAAAAACAATACACCAACAGAATATTTCAAAGCACACTACTACGAATTAATTAACGCCTTCAGATCCGAAGGCGTTTCTATTTGGGCGACGGATGCTGCTGTTTTTAACAACAACACAGGCTGCGCTGTCTGCAATATATCTGCTAATCAAAATTTTGTTTTCAAAATTAATGAAAAACTTTCTTCTCTTACTGGTGAACTATGTGCAATTGAAAAGGCAGTTGATTTGATGATCGAAGACGGTGTCAGCACAGCTGCTTTATTTACAGACAGCAAAAATGCTTGTCTTCTGCTTAAAAACAACACATCTCACAATTTTACTGTGTACAATATTCTAAACAAAATAGTTAATTCGCATTTAAATAAAATCTCGTTTGTTTGGACACCTTCCCATGTCGGTATACCAATCAATGAAACAGCCGATTATTTTGCGAAGCATGCAGCAAATGTTGGTACACCAATCAACTTCTGTCTGTCGGTCACAGATGCGTCGAAACGCATTGAGTCACTCCTGTGGAATGAGTTTATAGAAAATTACAAGGACATCTCACGGACTAAAGGAACTTACTTCTAACAATTCCTCCCGGCGCCTGCTAAACAGCCCTGGTTCTTTTCATCAAACATGAAACCTGAAAACATAAAGATTGTTAATCGATTGCTCACTGGTCATACTTACACCAAAAAATATTTCCACAGGATTGGAATTGCTGACTCAAATCTTTGTGAAACTTGCAACGAAATTGAAGATGAAAAACACATAATTTTTTTCTGCAAAAAGCATCAAAATCATAGGAATGATTTTGATTTGTTCAAGAAATTTAATAACTTACCGGAAATCCTGATGTCCAAAAACCAACAAAATATAGATAAATTAATCAAATTTATTGCACTTTGCAAAATTTAAGTTTGACTTTTATTTGTAAATAATCATCATATTTGCTTACAGTTCTTTATTTTTTTCTTTTAGTTTTGATTTTTTTGTTTTGTTTTGATTTCTTATGTATTCCATTCATATCACTACATTCTGTAAACACACATATACTGTAAACAAAACGAAAACGAAAATAAAAGAGTACTGATACTTTTCAAGCAACCAATAACCGGTCATGGTGAATGGGCACGAAAGTGTTCTAACCACCAACATACTTAACGACGTAGAAGTACAAAAAAAAAAAAAAAATGCTGCTATTGGAATGCATTAGTTTATCGTCAACAGTTGAGGAAAAGTATTGTTGGTTGGAAAAACCACCGATTCAAAATAGCTGGCAATAGACCTTTTCATTTGGTTATCCACTGCAATTACCACTCGCTATTTGATGCAAAATTATTGTTATTGTGAGTACCGCAGTCCATTACAGACATCGCTGCTGTCTGCCCTTCGGGGTGCCTGCATTAGCTTCCGCTGACTTTGTGGCCGCTGCGTAGGAGAAATTGCCTCCACCAGAGGTCCTTCCACTCAAAAATTAGTTTTACTCCTACAGCACTTCGCAACAATTTGACAGTGGGAATTTTTTCCATAATTAAATATAAATGTATACCGCGGGAACAATTAAGTGAAATTCCTGGAAAACAATGAAATGTCCCGAAGCCGAGTAGATCGACTGGCACAATCAGCTGGCTTGGTGCCACATGTATAAAAAAAAAAAAAAAACAAAACTAACACTCCGTTGTCTATATATTCATTAGCATGGTAGAAGATTACAGGTAGACGCAACAACGCTTGGGAATTTTAAATTTATTTTGAAATATAAGTAGATTTTTTTATTGTTTGTTTTCTCTTTCGAGACGAGCTTAATGATCTGAAATTTGCAGTGAAAAGGAAAGCCAGATAGACACTATCACACACTCACCACTATGCGACGCGTTTCGCCGTTGGTTAAGCGGCTCATCAGGCATATTTGGTGTGGATGATGGCTTACAAGGGCCGTTCTCTGGAAAGTAGTATATATTTCGAACTTATTGCAAATTAGCATATGCGAATTATACACTAGAAACTCTCCAGGTTCGACTCAAGTTCTATTGGCAGATCTTTTTTCACAGCAAAGTTTTGTTTTTGTAGTGATGGATTTTTTGTCCACAACAACTACATTGCTTCCAATGCATACACTTGTTTTAGTGCTGCTTTAGGAAGACGGGTTAATGGCTCTGAACGTAGAGACGGCAACTTCTAGTTGGCTGCACACCGAGGTCCGCGGTTCAAATCCCACAGCCAGGCTCGGCTGAATTTTTGAGTTTTGCCTTGTTAAGGCGAAGATCATATGTTTTATGATTTATTGTTTGTTTTCTCTTTCGAGACGAGCTTAATGATCTGAAATTTGCAGTGAAAAGGAAAGCCAGATAGACACTATCACACACTCACCACTATGCGACGCGTTTCGCCGTTGGTTAAGCGGCTCATCAGGCATATTTGGTGTGGATGATGGCTTACAAGGGCCGTTATCTTATACGAAAAAATTGCCCGTTTTCGCGATTTCCTTTATATAAAAATAATTGGGAGAAAATTGCCAAATAAAAAAACCAACTTGTTGCATTTCTTATTGGTAAATTTAAAGTTACGAGATTCTAGCTTCAGGCCTGTAGCTTGTAATTACTGTACCAGGTTTGCTGTTTTGTTTATGATACAACTTTTATTTTAGGAGTTAATAAACAGTAATGAATTAAAGATTAAAAATTAAGTCTGCTGACTCTCTTAGGGCTGACCCCATGAGCTTAGCTGAGGAACGCAAGCAATACTCTGGAACATTTTTAAATTTTTCAACACAACTTTACATCAAAGCATAATCCATTAACACCCCCTTTTTCCTGCCTCAGAGGATAACGTAACCGCCACCCAACCTTAGTCAATAATAAAATAAATATCAAACAGAAAGAAAGGTAAATAAATATCAAACAAAGAAAAATCGAAATGTATTTTCTTTTTTGCCGGAAGAGTTTAACTAAATAACATTTTTTTTAATATTTTGAAGGCGGGGTGGGTCTATTAGAAACCACAATATTCTATGGCCTGGCATCACCATATAGTACTTGACAGTGCAATTGTGGTTTCTAATCTGAAACCGTATAATATCAAATCTATTAAAACGTGGATCAAATCATAGGGAAAAGTAGAGAAACAGAAACAACATTTCAAATAAAAAACACACATAAACATATATGAAAACAAAAAAATCCAATAATACTTCTTCTCGACCAAAAATGATGATTTTTTATTATATTTATCTTTCTTGCAAAGCAAACAGTTGCATTTAGTTAGAGTTGACTGTTATCCGGGAATACAAACTGTTATACCCTTGATCAGGCTAATTTATCCAACCCAAAAATGTTGGTGTCTTGGGCAAATATTGGTGCCGAGCGTTTGACGGGTGGTAAACTTCGTAGGATTATTGATTACGCCCATAGATGGCAGCGGGCTGATTATTATGATATGTATTCGTAATTAAATTTCCTTTAGATTGGATTTTTCACAAAGTCATCAGTGACATAATATCCACTAGTTACGCTAAGCGTCAACGAACTAGGTTTCATATGCCTTTTAAAGTTCGAAGACTATGTAATTATGTAATCGTTACCTAAGTAATTAGAATAAACCAACCTTAACCATTTTTTCTCACTCTTTGCACTAGCATTTTACTAACTTTACTGATAAACAATACACAATCTAAATATTAATGCGCTTAACTGTGCTATTCAACTCATGAATATATTTTTATAAATTCACTAAAGGGTTAATGCAACTTACTTCTCTTTCCATACAAACCACTCTCTTCTATAGGTTCTGGAGAGGAAGATGACAGATTTCAACTATTCGACATATTGTGATAGGTTCATTGTAGTATTGGTTTAATAATAATTCACAATACTTGTTCCTTTTGAATAAAAGTTTTACTAAAAAAATTGTTCACTCTCGATATTAAGAGCATCCCAGCACATAAATCTTCCATCTGAGACCACATCCAAAACCTGTTTACAATTTCTACTTACATTTACACAGTGATGGTCTAGGCCGTCAGGCGAGTCCGTAATCTACCGACAATTTAAGCGAATGTTGGATGGGTCTGAAATCTACGGACATTGTAAGCGAAGGCTGGATGGGTTGGAAATCTATCGACGATGTAAGCGAAGGTTGTATTTACATTAGGTTGTGGAACTTAAATTTCAGCTGTGTTTTATAAAAATATTTTTATTAGAGAAAAGTGTTTTCAAAAACAAAATATTCTTATTAAAATAAAAAAATTATGCCTAAAAAAGTTGATAATAATAAATAAATAAAATTCAAATATTTTTATTAACCCAGCAATTTAAATTTTTTTTACATACGCCCAAATCCATTAAATACATGGTAACATGGTACAATGAATTCAAGGTAGGGCAGAACTACCATATGATTTAAATTTTTTTATTTTCTTGGCTTAATATGTCATCTTTATTTGTTTATGTATGTGTTTTCTTTTCAATAATAAAAAAATTGTTCAGAAAATATTCAAATTCGGGTGTTTTCAAAATGTTTATTTCAACTTATGCATCTACAAAATCTAGAGTTTTTGTAGCGAAATAATCCTATAGAGATATGTAGTACATGATTTTGAAAAGAAGTTTTGTCCTTTCATTCAGTTATCGCGTTTTTCAATTATTTATTCAAAACAAATGCAACAAGTTGTTTGATTTTTTATTGTTTTGATACTAATTCTGACATTACAAGCCAAACAGGTAGACCTCTATACTTGCAATTTTTTCAAAGTTGACCTACCTTCTCTTCATTGTACCATGCATGGTAAGTTTTTTCTGATATAATACCAACATGCAGATACGTACCCGGTGTAACAGTCCTTGTAAGCATATTATTCGTTTTCACAAAACTATTGATGCTGGAACGTCCAAGCCTTCCGACCTTAAAATATCTAAAAGTTCATAGCAACATGTTTTACCTGGTAGGTGTTTCTAATTACAGGACGACAATTTGCAAGTTAATCCCCCCGTATTTTCTGCAGCAATGGTCACACAAGTTGACTGTTGAAACAAATCGTCCTGATCGTTGTATTGAATCTGTTCATTAAATACAATATTATTGTTTTCCAAACAGACCGTTCTCAACTGTGCATTTCTTTTTAAATTATCGTCTTCCAATTTATTTAATTTCTCTTACTGAATCCTGACATTTTTTTAAACTTATTTAACACACAACACTTACTATACTCTTATTTTATTAATTTATTGTTTTATATTCACAAGTTGCCTTTCAAAAATACTTCACAGAATGAAATTTTGCTTTAACAAATAAAGAAGTATCAACAATGAATAACGGTACAACACCAGCTGCAACAACAAACAAAAAAACTTTACAAAATAATACGGAGACATCCGATTCAGCTGAAGTGCGATGGACACATTTTATTATATTTTGTTTTGTTCTTAAATTCTAATATGGATTTTGTTTCACAATGTAATAGCAATACGACTCATCTTAATCGGATGCAAGCTGCATGCTATTAAAGGCTGTTATTTCATTTTTTCTTGTTGACAAAATAGCATACATTTGGAGGGGTATTAAATTGCAATGGCCAGCGGACTGCTGGGATATATAATTTTTAGTAGGAGTGTAAGAGGGTATGCCTGGCAAAATTAAGAAGGTAAAGTCATTTCAAAAAAGCATACCCATCTCTGCATTTTCTGCAATTTACCTTCTCACATTTCTCTTCAAAAAACAGGTTCCCATCTCTGTTTTTGTGTATGTACAATGGATTTATAAATAAAAATTTTGACAATTAGATGTTGTCAAATGAATAATTTTTGAAAAAAATTTTAAAAATATGATTGCATGAGTTTACCTCCTTGATTCTACCATGAGTGTATGGCTACACCACTCGATGGTCCGATAACACCATAATCCTTATAGAAATATACTTGGCAACGCAGGCTTTTTTCCTTGTCAAAGAACGAATGGTGTAATACAAACAAAGGACAAAAGAATACTTTCAATCAACTATTAGATCGTTCTAATGTTTTCTTTGAAATTTTCCAAAAATAATATTGTTTCTATTTCAGGTCAATGATGCTGCTATTGGAATGCATTGGTTTATCGTCAACAGTTGAGGAAAAGTATTGTTGGTGGAAACACCACCTATTCGAAATAGCTGGCAATAGACCTTTGTGGCCGCTCCGTAGGAGAAATTGCCTCCACCAAAGGTCCCTCCACTCAAAAAATAGTTTTACTCCTACAGCACTTCGCAACAATTTGACTGGGAATTTTTTCCATAATTAAATATAAATGTGGATCAACTCTAGTTTAGTAAAAACTCTTCGATTTTTTCGAAACTTTTTCCAGAGGTAGGTATTTTTACCCTGATCCCGGGGACGGACCCGGGTCCCCAGATTTTTGACCCGAAAGTCCGGCATCAAGACTCCGCCTTGACCCGTATCCACTTACCCGATATAGACAATATGGATATCGAAAGCTTATGGAAATACCTATCCAACAAGTGGTCACATGAAGGGGTAAGTTGTCATGGTTCGGAAGTTATAGTTATATCGATTGTTTGGACCCGTATTTTTTATGAAAACCCCAAAAAGTCAAAAAAGGGCACATTATGGGGGTCAACAAAATTGTTTCCAAAATGCTACAATTTGTGCTAATACCTTTTTCGGGTCCAGAGATATTGTGTTTTCCGTCCGCATAACCCGATTCTAACCAAGCTTTCCAACGATATCTCTATTGCCTATATCGGGTAATTGGATCGGGGTCTTGAATCCGGACTTCCGGGT